TCTTCCCAAATGACAGAACAAGTATGTGTATCTTTAACATTTGAAGTTTGTTACTGATTAAGGTTTAAGCACTCATCTTCGGGTTTTAATAGGGTCTTCATACTATTCAGATAATTTTCTCTATTCTATAGTTGCAAAACCACTCCAATTTCCTCATTTTAACTCAGTTGACCATATGTGTATTTCCCTCATAACCTTTTACTTGCCACAGCAATTTTCTGCAATTCCTACCTTTTCAGTGTACATGAATGACACCACATTATTTCTCCAGCTTTGCAGATGTTTGCCTTGTAAACCACCCTGGCTTTTCAGCAAACATATTCCTTAGTTGTGGCATTCTGGCTGAGTGGGTATCTGCTCTACCACCCTTAAACCACTTCTAATCACTATTCTCCCACTCCAGATTAAATTTCTTCTCCCAACAGACTTACCTTATAATAATATTCACCTTTATAAAATTAGCACTTCCAAAGGATGAAGTATATGTATTATTGGCTGGGACTTAATTCTGTTTGCACATATCAAATGTGATCAAATAATTATCAGTTATACCTAAGCTATGGCTAATTTTTAGTTCTGTGATCAATTCCTTTTCATCTGACAAGATGAGGTCTAATATAGAATTCCTCTGTGTTGGATGCAACATTTTTTGAGTTAGGAAATTGACATTTTAAATATTTTGAAGTTCCAAGTACATTGTAACACTGGCAGCATGAGACCTTCAGCATATGTCATTCAGACTGAAATTCACTCAGTACATCAGTGCTTTCCCTTTGTGTTGTGGGTGGGTACGGCATAGGTCATGCTGTTCTCTAGTGTGATTTGATATCAGCTAAGTACCCTGTCAGCTTCTGACTTATCCACTTGAACACTGACCCATAAACATGCAAGATCCTTTGTTTCCGATTGCCATCAACTGAGAAACGGGTAATGCCATTTTTTAAGTGCTTTCTGTCCACTTGATACTTCCAAAATAGATTATAGCAATTGATTCTGACATTCCTGTTTTTCCGAACAGTTGTAGCAATAAAAACTAGGTCAAATCTGTACTAAAAAAATGATCTCTTGCCAGTGTCAAGTTTCCAACACAAAAAGAGAAGTCACTGAAAAATCTCTGCTATTTATATTCTGTAACATCCCAATTGAGTTTCTCTTACAGTTTTCATTTGCACTTAGCAAAAGTTCATTGATTCCCTCCCAATATTTCCATTTCTGACCAGTCCCCAGACACCCAAGCAGGCCAGCCCCTTAGAACAGCTCCTTTGTGACAGTAAATTAAGCAGCAAACCCTCACCAACAGAAAGTGAGGACATTTTTCACAAACAAAATGCCTTCATGTTGTCACTTACTCAGAGATTCAGTCTAATGTGTTTTTCTACTTGCTCTTTCCCTTACTCAGAAGTCCTGAAGGACTTCAGGAAGGCTCAGAGGTCCTGAAAGGATGGAGGGGAACAAAGATGATTCAGGGACTGGGTCTTACAAGTAAAGGCTGAGAGAGCTGAGCCTGTTCAGGCTGGGAGATAACTGGGAGGGGACCTCATGAAGGTCTTTCAGTATCTGCAGGAGGGATGCCAAGAGGATGGACCAGGCTCTGCTTCGTGCTCTGCTGAGCAATAGGACAAGAGGCAACAGAAGAAACTGATGCACAGAAGTTCCACCTGAATATGAGGAAGAACTTCTTTCTGTGTAGTGACCACACACTGAAACTGATAGTCCAAAGAGACTGTGGCCTCCCTCACTGAGATATTCATGTGCTCTGGGACAACACGGCTTAAGCAGGGAGGTCGGACCAGATGACCCACTGTACAGTCCTTTCCAACCCAGGCCATTCTGTGATGCTGTGAAAGAACCTGCTCACTGCAGGTGACCCTTTGGCATCTGAGAGATTGCCACACTTCCTTAGTGCTTGCCAGCTTCAGAAACTCGCTCAGCTTTGCGGGATGCTCCCGTTTGAGGCAGCTCTTTCGGAGCTCACCTGAGCTCAGGAAAGCACACCAACACCTCTGCCCGTGCCGATTTCTCACAGCCCCAGCGCTTTCCACTGCCTAACCCGGTTCCCCCGTCCCCCGAGCCCGCCGGGAAGGGGTGGGACGGTCCCTGAGGGCTCCGGGACCACCCCCGGCCCCAGCGCCGCCCGGCGCCGTCGCCATGGCGAGGTCGCGGCGTCCCGTGACGGGCCGGGCCGGCGGAGAGCCCGTCCTGCGGCCGCGCCATGAGCCCAGGTCTGTGTCCCGGCTGATGGGGTGCATTTTATCGGTACCGGAGCCAAGGGCCAGGGTATTAGCGGGACAGGTGAAGGCACACGCTGAGGTGTCCCGGGGCGGTGGTTGGTGACAGCCAGGCAGCAGCGGATGGCGGCTGAATTCCCAGAGCCGCGGGGACGGAGGGCATGGAGAATACGGGCCCGGCTGAGGCCGTGACCTTGTCCAGGTCACTTGGAACAAATAGCATCTATCACGCTGACTGTAGATTTCAAAAATGTATTATTCGTTTTTGTTTTTTTTAATCAATTTGCACTATGACTTTCAGTGTAAATAAGCAGCGTGCCAGTAAGTCCGTCCTGCCGCATTCTGATGTCCCTTTATCTTATGAGGTGCCAAGTAGCAGCAGATACGCCCACAAAGACAGACGTGTGGTGTATCCATCCCTACTTCCTTACCTCCTTCCCAAGAAGGGGAATCCTCAGCCTCCAGTTAATACCTCAGAAAATGTGTAGGAAGAGCAAAGGGGCAGCCAACAGGTTTCCCAAAAGGTGCTGGGAAAGGCACCATTGCTCTCAGCTACCAGCTGGTGTTTTACCTTCAGCTTCAGTGCGCCTTGGAGCAATTACAGTCCATGGGGAGATTCCCTCCATTGTCAGATTAAGTGAAGCACTTCTTTAGAAACAAACTGCACCACGTCATATTTTGCTGAATTCTGTGGGCGTTTGATTAAATAAATGGCTTAGACTTTATAATAAAGGAGCAAGATGTAAAGTGGACTTTAAATGACTAGTAATGAAATTTACATGACTGAAATAGCATGGGTTTCAGAAGGATGTGTTGCTGTTGCCTTCTGTCATGTCCCTGTGGTTGTAATTTACCTGTAAGAATTAGTTACCTTGGAAATGAGGGAAATACACCCTCAATTTCACTCTGAAAGCAATCTCCCACATCTAAAGTAAAAGTTCAGTTTGCATTATTATGAAGCACCTTTATTTTCCTCTCCCACGCTTTGAGTTTGAAATAGGAGCCAGGGCAGTATTTTAGTCTTTGTGAGCCAGAAACGTGCTAAGAAAAAATGTCTGCATATGTGCCTGATGTGAGACCTGTATGTCTGATAGCCTCTTTTCCCATAGATTTGATTTCTGTGTGTTGGGAACATGGAGTGTGTGAGCCAAGAACTTGTCGTGCACTCCAGCCAGGTGCTTTGTGGCAGTCCCCAAATTACAGGTCCTTATCAATAGCTTTCCATGGCTGCAGTGGCTCTGTGGGGGTCTTCTTTCAGCTGCTTCCCCCCCCTTTTCTGCCCCATAGCTGTAGTCAGCCCCCCTGCCTTGCCAAATTCCTCAGCCTCCACTAAGGCATGACTGTGTTCATTTTCCCACTTAATGCCTCACAACAAAGAAGCTTGTAGAAAGCTTTGCATCTTCTCTGGACTTCAATATTGTTGTTCCAAAGTAAATTACTATTTCTCACTGAATAACATCTTCCTAAAAAGAGGTTTTCCTTTCTATATAGTTTTTGTATACAAACCTGTCATTCTCTGTGAGAAGTGTAATCTTTTATAGTGATGAATTACGCATATGTTTTTTGCTCTATTTATTTTTTTTTGTTTTGTTTTCTAGGACACACTTCTGTTAAGTTTTGCTGCCTCTAATTGCAGACCAGTTTATCTATAAGTAATATCTATTTTCTTTCTATTAAAAATGTTATCATTAGTATGAGGCCCAAAAGAATTACTTAGGAGAAACATCCTATCCTGTCATCCTTCCAAATAATAATTCTCATTATTCAATTCTAAGTAACACAATTTAAAAAATTACTTCAGTATAACCACAGCAAAATACTGCATCAATGAAATGGCTTTTGATCCCAGAAAGGCTTATAAAATATCTGTTAGTCATTTGTTACTGATCATTCAGTAGCAAATTGATTCATATCTAATACCTATTTCCCAAAAAATAAATTTCCTTTCACTAAATGTAGCAAATAGTTAAATTCTTTCCTCCACTCTTATTATATTCTGTTTTTCCATCCCTATTAAAAGTTTATGCCTTCAGGCCTACCAGCAGGGCATGCAATACCTACATTAAACCAAATTTAAAAGTAAGGGTGCTCCTGCTGCTAACGTCTTCAGATCACAGACATGCAAAATGAAGGAACTGGCAGCTGAAACTTTAATGGTTGGAAGTGTAGACTGAATACTTGGGGAAAAAACACAGTAGCTCTATATGACAAAAAAGTCCTATTAGCATTTATGTACTTCAAGATGACAAGCTAGACAATTCTGTGAGGCTTTGGCTTTTGTTTTAAGTAAAACCCTGTGTTGTAAGTATAGCATTACTCACAATATTTTCCTTCAAAAGCTTGTTTCTAGTATGATTATGTAGGATTTTGAGCATTAACACAGTGCCTGTCGTTGCTTTGCACCCTGTATATTCCATCATCTATCCATGTTGTATATTAACTTAAAATATTATCAGTACTTGTACCTAGATAGCTTGAGGAAGTAAATGAGATAGCTCAGGGGAATCCCGTGCAGGTATTTGTACCTGAATCAGCTGTCCCTATGGAAAGCAAAAGCACCTCAGTGAAAGAGAAAAACCCATGTAAAGTTAAATAATGACCATTCCTTTCTGAATTACTGAAGTAATGCTGTGATTTGTGTGGAGCTGGAGTTGGATTTTAATGCACTGAAATAACAGAGAGTGGCCTGGGAAGCAGCACGAGAAGGAAAAGAAATCACATTGCTGTGGGGAGGTTGTTTCAAATAATGTTGGTTTTGTTTGTTTGTTTTAGTTAAAATGAGCGTGTTGCCTCAAGCGGTACTCCAAAGCCCAGGGGAACATCCCAAGTTCATAGAGCAGCATCTTTGCCCCCCATTAGACTTTGCAAGGTAGGTACCTCCTCTCTTTCAAAGCATCATTTTTGCTGTGAACAGCTTCAATCGGCTGTGCCAAGGTGACAAATTATGTTTGCTCTTTTGCAATATTTAAAACTACAAAAATCATAGACAAGGAAATTCTCTCTTAGGAAAGTTCCACAATTAAAAGAGGCAAAAAAAAAAGAAGGTGTCTACTGGATTAAAATTGATTTCTTGTTAACAACTGAGTGATTTAAAATTAAATAGGAGGCAACTTAAAGGTGAAGTAGACTCTTTTTGTACACTTTATGAAGTACTATGAGTCATTATGGAAACACCAGAGAAAAAGGGATAAAATCGCTTGGAAAAGGCAAGTGACAACCTCTGGAAGAAAAGAAATGGTGCCTTTTAGCAAATGCCATCCTCATCTCAATTCTGTAAAAAGAAACGGTGTCCATTCCAAGTCACAGTTTCTTTTCTTCACATTGATTAATCAATTTATTAATTTTAATGTTTTTAATTCTCATTGCATATAGGAAGCCAGAATGATTTTCCTGAGTTGATGTAATTTCCTAGTGTATTTTTTCCTAAGTATTACCTGCCCATGTTTTCCAGGTTATTGCTATGCTAGCATCATCAATAATAACAGCCAGGGTGAGATGAGTACTTTTTTTTTGGTTGGTTGGGGTTTTTTTTTTGTTTGGTTGGTTTTTTTTGTTATTTTTGTAAGCTCAACTCTTTATGATGGATGACCATGTTTGTAGTTGCATCAGTCAGGTTATTAGTTTGCAAGTTTTTGCTTATGTTTTTTTTTTCCCTTGGCTGTAGTTTTCTTTAAATGTGTGGGTTTTACCAATCAGATGTCAGAAATGCATACTTTGGCTATAAGGCAGGTGGCATTTTAAATTGTGTATGATTCTAAGGGGTTTCCCCCTGATTTTTTAAAAATTTATTTATTAAGATATCCTTGTAAAGACAATGGAAAGGCATTAAGCTTTCCTTTATTTCATTTTGAGATGCTTTTTAACTGCAGTGTGGATTGAATTGCAGCAAGCTGATAGGAATTTGCCTGTTGTAGTTCACTATTTCAGTTTGGGGGTTTTGACTTTCTCTCCCTTCTTCCAAAGATCTTCCTGAATGTTGATTATTCTGGTGTGAAAATTCTGATATTGAATACATTTTGGTGTTGATTATAAGTGAATTTTCATGTCAGTATCCATAAGGTGTACATCAGCAGCAAGTCCTCTGGATTGTGTTAAGTGCAGCCTCGAAGCATAAGCCTCTGATGGTGCCACTCAGCAGCAGCAAATTCTGGAACAAATTTAAAGGCACTAGTTGTGAGGAATGTTTTCACTGTTACATTGTTTTAAATACAGATATGTCAAAATATCTCTGCTTTGCTTAGCTATTTTGTTTTCATTTAAATGAACTTTGTGAAATGTCTCCAGTGTTCTCAGAGCAATAAGGAGTATGATGCTTATAATAGCTAACATTATGAAAAGAGTTTACTCTCATCACTGTAATGAAAGACAGCAGTGTAATACAGACAGAGAAAGAATGGATTTATGTGGAACACTAATGCTGAATTTCTTTTATCTTTGAGTGATTAACCAGACAATCTTTGTGCTCTTTCTCAGAAGGATAAAAATAAATTCACATTACTTTTATAAAGATAACATCCTCTACAGTTGGGATATCAGATTCTATTTATATACACCCCATGGTCAGTAAGTGCATATTAGCCTTTCCAGGCATCAGAGTGGAGATGCAAAGATATGGTGGCTGAAGTGAAAGGTGAAATGGTGCACAGTTCAAGTTTTAAACCTAGATCCACACATCCTGAAATTTGCTCTTTATTTTGATGACCTTTGGATTATCCCCTCAGTGGAGCACCTTTTGCATTATGCCACTCAAACTGTGGAAAGCCAGGAGCAGTATTAAAAGATTTCATTGCACCAAGGAAAACATTTTGAGTTGGATTTGGGAATTGTTTTCTTGATTTGCTTTTGGTTTTAATTTTGAAGAAGCTAAATATGAAATAGATTGTACCATTCTAGTCCATACTGATAATACAAAAATATAACTGTTCTGATTTAGGAAACAGTTTAAATATGGATAGCTTAATCAATTATTACTGATTTAGCTAATACACAATTTCTTCTAGTTTAGACAGAAATATCAGATAACCAGATCCCCTGAAAGCTTATATCACCCCTGTTTTCTTTCAGAAATGAAGATTTGAACTAGCTACAGACCAAAAAATTAAAAAGATATTTGTATGTACTTACAGAATATCTGATATATTACTTTGTCAATATTTCACTGTTTAGCTGTACTTGGTGATGATAATATATTATACATGCTGCAGAAGTCTATGTTGCACCTTACACTGTTTCTTTTAATTTTTTTCATTTAAATTTAGGATTCATTTGATCAAAGACAAAGATGCCATAGATGATTATTTGGCGAAGAATATCAAAGGAGTGTCAACACAAGAAGCTGCTGCGTAAGTTGGCTTTTTTGAGGCATTTTAACATCCATAAGTTTATTGTTTCCTTTGTTTCTAGTCCTCATAGTAATTTAAATTTAAAGTTCCCTAGGCCCTACCCTTTCTAGTGGAACTTGGCATTTAAAAATTGAATTTGATATTAAATAATGATATTTCATTTCTCTTGATGTTAAATATATCAAAGCATTTATCTCCTTGGTTTTACTAATTTGTATATTTACCAATTAGATCAGATTTGTGACATTATTGTTAAGATTGTGTTAGTAATTATATTGTGCTGCCTTTTTTTTTTTTTTTTTTCCTTTTCCCTTCTCTTTTTTTTTTCTGAGCCTTTGTAAAATATCTCCTTTGGGGTAGGAGCTAAGTGTACCGACATACACATTCTTGTAATTTTGAATTACTATTTTGCCAAGCCCAAGTGCTGACTTCTGTGGTGAAGCATTTAATACCCCATTAGTTATTTAAAAATGCAGTGAATGAAAGAAATCTAGATAACTTTTGATTTCTTACAGCTGAGGTATTTACATTTAGAAGTTACAAGAGATTATGACTGACTTATTCTTCCGGAGTCAATTTTAACAGATCTGGGGTTCAGCACCATCAAAATTAATGAAAGAATTCTAACAAACTGGATTGCTGGTTGCTTCAGTGAGCTGATTTATTTATTTCAATATTTAAATAATAAAAGGATGCATACACAAGGGCTCTAGGCACCTTAATGATGAATATTGCAAGATCACCCTTGCAGCGTAAAAACATTCTATCAGTCAGACAGGAATTCCACCAGCTAGTTTCTTGCAAAATATGCTTCTTTTCTCCTTCCTAGCCTAAGAATGTGCCCGCAAGCCTTCCCTAAAAACTTCCATGTTGAAATCTAGAAAATTACTGCAAGTATCAGAGCTCAGGGAGCAAGCACAAAAGTAAGCACCTTCCCTTACTGTCCTCCTGGTTCCACATCACCTGTGGAACTGGCTGCTCTGCTCATTACACTCTAGCAATTGTCACAGGCTGAGTTGCCTTCCCAGGGAGCTGTTTCAGTCCTCAGCCCCAGTGGATTTCCACACACCATGCTAGGGGCACAAGTGTTCTCTCTGAGGTGATTACACAGGAGGTCACTGCTATTTTAGGAAGGCCTTGGGGCTTCAAAGTGCATTTTACAAACAAACAAAAAAACAATGCAAAACAACCTCCTAAGTGATGTTTTTATATCCAAGCCCTGAGTCTGAACATTGTGGAAAAGGAAACCAGTGAGGACATCCACAATGAAGTAAGAATTTTATCAAAATGTTCTGCAATACCTACCCAAAGTGGAGTTCCCTTTACAGTGTTGTAAGAGGCTGTTTTTCCAAAGTTACCAAAGCCTCTTAGAAGATTAAACTGAAATATCATATGTATTCTGGTGTATTTCTATGGAGATTTTTAAAGTACCTACTTTAAAATGTTACATTCATGTTCTATGCATTTGATTCTCTTGGAATTTTAGCTTTTGATAATAAATCAGCAGTTACAAAATTTCTCTCTCTAGATATAATTTACTAATAATGCTCTTCCATAACCTTGATAAAATCATCTGAGAGCAAACAAAAGGTAGCAAACTAACTACACAGTTACATTAGTACTATGCTGGTCTAGTTAGAAAAAACTAAATGCATCAAATGTAATCTAAAACAAATTTATTTAGTAAGGCAATGCCATGTCTGTAAATGATCTTACTGAAATCAGCATAATGCCTGGTATGTCTCAGCAGGCAATGGGCATTATTATTTTAAAAATATGAGAGATGGCTTGTAATATACTGTGTCATTTTTCAATATTGTTTCCATTCCAGAAGCAGATTATTACACTTCTTTATAAAAGGACTGAACTTCCTTCCTCTAACATATAAATATCTCTACTTTTGTTTAATATGGAGGTTAACTTAATATGCCAGTGATTATTGCATCAAGACAAATTCTTCTAGCCACACTTCCCTTAATATTAAAGACCCTTTTTTAAGTGTACATTAGGCAAAAACAAATTTATTATCTTCTATATAATAATAAAGGAGTGTATACGTAGTGTCATATTTATGGAAAAAAGCTCTATGCTTTAAAATTTTCCCCTAAAATTCTATCCCTCACCATATTCCTTAAAATTGAGATGAACTATTGAAGGAAAAAAAGTAGCAGTTATTCTTGTATTGTAAAATAATTGTCCTGTGTTCCAAACTTAAGGAAAAAAGAAGAATTCCATTAAGTGTGTTCATTATATAACCTCTTTTTTTTCTGTGGAAAAAAGAGGAAATGTTTTTCATTTTTTTCTTTGTAATAATTTTTTGTCCCAGGTAGATAGATAGACAAGGGAGAAAAAATAGTGCTTAAGAAAGATAGTACTTTAATTATATTAAAACGGGATATTGCTTTGTTTTTTCATTGATTTTGTTTTGATTCCTTCTGGAAGACTTTAACTTGAAATAAGAAGTGAATGTGGTGCAAAGCTCTAGAAGTGGAAAAAAAGCAAAAGTTGGTTAATGCAGAACGTGAGTGCTTTACTGTCATAGAAGCAGGCTTTATGCAGAAGTTGGCTGGCCCCAGTGGCATTCAGTGTGCTTTCCTTGGTACCTTCTGTTCTTAGTCCTGACTCACCAAGTCATTACCAGCTCAAAATCAAATTGCAGTAAAAATTAAAAATAGTTCGTATGACTGAACTAAGAGTCATGAAGTTCACGATGAACTGTGAAATAAAGCATTTTTCATTAAGAGATTGATTTCAGGATGGAATCTTCACATTAGTTTAGAGCCTAAAATGGGCCAGAATTTGATATTATCATTCTTGTTTCCTGATCTTTTTGTTAGGGCCAGTTCTCTCCTCTTCATAGAAGTGAAAATTGCCTATAGAGGAACAAGTCATCAAAAAAGAGCTGAAGACTAGAAAGAGAAACTTTGAAATGTATATGATTAGAGGAATAGCTTTGCTTAGCTGTAACTATAAAATAATTACATTAGTGATGTTACTACATGTATTTTAAATACATTTGATTTGGATGATGGAGTTCTATGGTTCTCAAGGCTCTGGTGGTCAAATGAAATCCAAATTGTTATACAGAGATGGTGAAGGTTTACCGTGGTATGCAGAAAATTTGTATTTGCATTTTCTGTCTTGTGAGTGGTAGATCAGTGTGTTACAGAAAGCTTGCTTGATAAATCTGTATCAGTAAAGACAGGCTCTGAGATGGATTTTTTCAGGCAGGAGACAACATTCTCTTGCACGCATTCTGTCAGATGTTTTTGAGATGCAGTGGGCTGTTCTGCTTAGAATTCTCCAATGGCTCACCCACTTTAGGATTAGCTGAAACAGAAAAAGGCAAAGGCTTTAATCCTCAGGTGTTCTGTGTCCCTCAGAGCAGTTATTGGCCATCTCTGCTAATACTCAGAAGGTGGATCATTACTACTTTTCAAATTGTTGACTGCAAAATGGCACATAAAATTTCTGCTCTAGCAGTATGAGTGATGAATATAGTGAAGCATAGCTGCTGTAAACTCCCTTCAAAAAGAGCAGAGGGACTTGCACCCAAGTTTAACTAATTCAGGTTAACAACCCTAGCCTTGTGATTAGTTGAGCCCTATCTTTCAGGATCCAGACAAGTGCTTTAAAATAAGGTGAATGAGACTTTTGAAGCACCTGTTTCTCCCCGTTGCTTATAGAGAGATAGTAGGGTGATGAGCTCAGACCTAGACACATAATTTACCACTCTATCCGACAATGGAGAATTGTGGAATTTTAAAAGCTGTAAAAAGGATGAGGTAGAGGTCTTAGAGACTGATTCCTGAGGCAGCATTTTTACAGGAAGCTGTCAATTGCGGAAGAGAAATGACCTGGCATCCATTTTAAAACTTCTGTTGGTGCCATCTGATAAAAGATTATTTTTCCATTCTTCAGTCAGACTGAAAATTATTTACTACTCTCCCCAAGTTTCTGCTCTTTTCAGTGTCCGCATTCAGCTGGGTAAAATTAAGGAAAAAAGATGTGGGAAAATTTATGCGGGATTAAGTGCTAGAGGAATTTGTGGAAATAAATTATTTCTTTCCTACATCTGTATGTCTTCTACCAGTGATTTCTGAATACTCAGCCCTCTCTGTCCTCCAGTACTAAAGAGGGTGAAACTTCCTCACCCAGCTAGAGGCCAGGATGATCCGGAAAGTTCACTGAGGGGGAAAAAGGGGATTTGTGGACTGACGGAGAGGACAATGAATGAAACCTACTCTGAAGGTTTGTTCTGTATTTTTATCATAGCCATGATGGACTAGTAAGCCTTACTATTAGGCTGGGATTTTTCTGACCTTGTCCTTTGTTTGCAAGTTATTTCAATCCTGAGAGTTTCAGTACTCAGGTTTTTTTATTTATTTGTTTCTTTATCTGTCTGTGTTCTGGTATTTTGCATTGAAGGACGAGTGCTTTAAGGAGGCTGAACACAAATAACTGATTGGAGATTTGATTAACCCATACTTTTAGTAGCTGTCACCTCTACCACAAAAATTAATAAGGTGACTTCTTAGGTTACTCAAAAAATAGATGGGGACCCTTTTTTCATTGACATCGTATTGCGGTGTTGTCTTTTTCACTACCTAAAATTTTTACTGGGGCTTCCCAATTTGAAGGAGCTTGGTCTAGGTATGGAAGTTTTATGTTGTGGGGTAGATTGACCATTTCTCTTTTAGTAAGTGAGGCTCTCGAGGAAGAAAAGAGGAGCACTACCAAGAAAAAGGGTAAGGAAAATATCTTGTTGGTATGGGATTAAGGTAAGGAAGGACGAGGTGCATCTGCTATTACTAGCAAGCTCGCAAAACGCAATTTAGGATGCAGACAGATAATGCGTAGGAGCAGATTCTGCTTTTCCCTTGTATTTCAGCCCTTGATTGGACAATATTTGGTTCCAATGATGCACTGCTATGACCTGCTTCCATTTCTTCTGTGTACAAAGCTGTGGAGACAGACGGAGGTAGGCAAGCTCAAGGAGA